AGGCCTCGCCCAGAAAGTCCTTCGCGCCGAAGTCGTTGGGCCCACGTGACACCAAGGACTCCTGAGACCGAGGACGACCATGGTTCCACCAGGATTTCCCAATGGGAAATATAGGAACATCATCTGCAAGTGGATATCTAACAGCTATTGAACTTATTGAAGCATAAAAATATATACAAAAATGATGAAGACTTGGGATTTTACCCAAACATGGGAATTGAATGTGAAGTTTTGATCGTCATGAAATGACTCAAATGAATTGAAATCTTATAAGTCATGATCTGTGATTGGCATAGTTAAATTGTCACTTGTTTGATTGTCACTTGTTGTCTATATTTGATGGGAATGGGGTGATTGTCAACCATATCTAATGGCAAAGCTATCTATATATATATAAAGTTACGTAATTGAATTTACTACCCTATGCAAATATGTGCGACATATGTTGAAAAAAGTATTGCGTTGATGGTGACAAATATTTGTTGATAAACATGGCGTTAAATACTTGAAAGCAATGGTCACTATGTCTGGTGGCAATTCTCTGTGTCTGACTTGATGGACAAAATTGGCGGACATATTTTACTACAACATCCATCAACATATATATACCACAACTCATGTTCCGATGCTTCTTCAACAGAATGATGCATCATGGCACTTTTTTTTCAAGGTATTTTAAACATATTTCAACCATCCCTCAGCAGTCATGGGATTCCCAGTTCATGGGCCATTTCCAGGGACATCACCAGATCCAGTGACTCAACCTTTTGGTTTGGGTCCCGTCCTCCGCAAAAGGACCTCGCAGTTTGCATCCCCAGCTTTGTTGCTGGCATCCTTATGATAAATGGTTTCTTTATTCAGTGCTGCTTCCAAATTCAATATCCTTTCCAAATGGACCGAGTCCCAAATAGCTGATACTTACACATCTATCAATGGTTGCCATACTATACTCGTGCTGACAATTTCATCTCATCATGATTTCTGCTTCCACCCCCCATGTTTGGCATCGCTGGATAATCTTGGTTTGTGATGTCAACTCCAGATTGATAAAACCTGGTTGGTAAACTAAGAGAGCGTGGGACTGTGGGAGTGCCTTTTAAGTAATTGCATACCCCGCGTTGTATTGGAATGAATGATGTGTACTCAAGTATTTCCGAAAATGCTTCATTTAAGTCCTCCTTGTTTCAAATGGTAACCCAAAATCTAAAATAAAATGTTGCAAATTCTCCGACCCGTGCCCGAGGGACAGCTAAAGAAGATGGCTGAATTCCGCAGGTCGGCACCACCAGCACGACCATCGCAGCTCACTTCCTGGAGAAACCTCTGACCAACAAACATGACCAACACACCAAGGGGAGATAACTCGAAGACAAACATGGGGGTGCAACAAAACCCTGAAATGTGGAACATATTCCCAGGCCTGGTATAAGAGCCAAGATGTTGGAGTATAGTCATGACATTACCCGACAAGGAGGGTAAGATTTCTGGAGCACCTTAGAATAATGTGGTGTTTTTATTCCACAGAAATGAGGGGATGATCCAAATTATCGGACAGTGATAAGGATCTTGCCCTCAAGAATTCAGAAAGCGACGCTATGTGGGCCCCAGTTTTTTGACAGCCCCAGTTTTTGATATGGGCTCAGATAGCGTCATGCACCCCAAGAATTTGGATATGTCCTTTCACCTTTCACTTTATTTGGAACACTTGGAATGGAATGAATTGATTCATCAACTTCCTGAGGGATATGAACTTCTCTTTGGACCATCCAACGTGCAGAACTCAGGACCCAGGGCCTCATAGACGTTGGCCGCACTGATCAATGCCCGTTGCGTGCACACAGTTCTCTGTTCGTTCACGGCCAGTAACGCCAGTGAGCCCCAATACCTCAGTGGCTGTGAGTGTAGCAGAAAAGTGCTTGGAAAACCCACGCACTGTTGGCATTAATGAGAGATCATGAACTGGATCTTGTGGGTTCCCAGAATTTGGGGCGAATCCCAACCGGAGGTCCTGAGCCAAGGAACATCACAACACCCAGACAACTGATACAGAGGGAGCCGCACAGCTTTCCCAAAGGTCCCTGTTGGCCAACCTCTCTGACCTGCTGGAGGCTGGCATCTGGGGCATGGCTTTTGATGCGATTTTTGGAAACTCAGAAACTTGAAGTTGAGATGAGAGAAATCACTGACAAGATCTTGTTTTTTCTCCGGGATTCTGTACCTATATAGCCTATAAATATACTATAAATAGATATGATGATAGATAGATAGATAGATAGATAGATAGACAGATAGACAGATAGATATATAGATATAGATATAGATATAGATATTAGATATAGATATAGATACATATATAGATATAGATATAGATATAGATATTAGATATAGATATAGATATAGATATTAGATATAGATATAGATATCGATATCGATATCGATATCGATATTATCTGTATCTATATATCATCATATATGTGTGTGTTATCTTTATATATAAGCTCTAATATTTATATATATATATGTATAATCTATAAAATATAGAATATATATATAATAAATTTATAATCTAATCGACATATCTATATCATCCGTACGTATAAATACATATATATATATATATGTGTGTGTATTATCTATACACCTATATACAATCTACATAATATAAAATCTATACAGTATATATATATATATTAATATATTAATATATGGTAGAGTTGTATTATAAGATATGTTACATATAGAATATATCATATATATATATAATCCTCAGAATCAGGCAAACCCCTGCTCCATCCCATGATGCAGAGGGCCTCCACATAGGTATTGCCCCGCTGCATGCCGCGTCGCATAGCGCCGCAGGAGTCTGTTTTGCTGGTGAAATGCTGACGATTTCGTCGCATGCTTGGGTCTGAAGCCAGCTGTCAGTCCAGTGAGTTGTTGCCCTCGCATTGGTACGGCTAGCAGACACTAGCAGGATGGCAAGAAAGTTGTTCTTGGAAGCATCGGGAGTATATATCTGTTGCACAACGGGCTGGGGACGAACTCATTTGCGACGGCACTTACCCACAGTGTCCAATCAACAGGTTCAAATGCCATGTGCTGATTCTCAAGCTCGGGGCCATAGAGTGCAAAGTGGCGTGGCATGGAAACTATCACAATTGACCATATATGATCAGGTCATATAATTACCATGTGTCGACACATCCGGGTTGAAACATTCGGAAGCCTCGTGCGATCATAGGAAATTCCAGGTGAATCCCGTCTGGTACCAGTTAGAAGCAGCAGGGTAAACCCCCCTCATCGCGTGATCAGTAACCTCGCCAGGTATAGTATAAACAGTAAGCACCAAGCAGCCTGCTCAGAAATGGCTTTGGATGGTGAATTTACTCTTGCAGAATCTTGCAAACCAGTAATCTTTAGGCTTTTTTAGGCTTTCTTCAGGTGACATTTTGGGGTATGGCCACCACCAGCACCTGGGAGCCAGCCGAAGTCCGGACACGCCAACCTCAGCTCGGTGTTAGTGGTTTGGCAATTAGCCAGGAGCTATATTATAGGCTGCGATTGTGTCAAAAATATCATATGGTCTGCAGCAGGAACTCACAGCATTAATCAACTGATGTATCTCGTTTGCGGGACTCTCTACGATATGTTTGCAGTGTCCAAGTGGGCACTAGGCATTATATACACGTATTACATAACTGGTTTCATGTGTTTCGTGTCAGCATTTCCGACCGCAACCGCAGACCAATTCCAAATTGATCCTTGCATTTCTTTGAAAATAAATGGCCTCTTGTGGAGCATGTTCCAAAGTCGAGCCCAGTGCCATTTACTTGAAGGTGAGATAATCCTCGTGATTGTCCCAGCTTGTGAGTGGTGAATGGTCATGTTCACTAGCCACTTGCAAACTGCGATGATCAAAGTGATCAGTTTCGAACCTCCACCGATCCTTTTTTGGGACAGACCGCATGCCAAAGGCGAAACTCAACGGCCAAGTGGAGACCTATGAGGATGGCCAGTGGCCAGTCTTTAAACATTCTAAAACTACCAAGGCGCGTTGACCCAACTTGGGAGCCCCTGTAATCACTAGTTTTGGTTGATTTGAGCACAAAGGAGATCCAGGTCGTCCCAAGTTTGAGACACAAAACCTACACTAAACCAAGGAACCACCATCCGTGGGCTAACCATCGCAGAAACACTGTAGAGGTCTGTGTGGGCATGGGTTTCAAAAATCGTTGAAAACCCGTACCGTAGAAAAAGTGGATAAAATTTCAGTCCTGAATGCGACCAAGATATCATATTTATGAGATTCTTTGTTTCAGCCTCGCATCGACCCCTAGTGGAAACTGATGGCATCAGCTAACTGTGCCCAACATGTTCCGCTGCTCCACAGCGGAAGCGCGAAGCTCACTTTGGCTTCTCAGTAACCACCTGAACCATTACACTCACCATATTTGTTCATGAAGTCCTCTTGGAAAACCATGAGTTTCTTCACCACTTCCTGGCAATCTGCCCATCAGCCATCCCAGTTTTCTTTCTCCATCTCTGGGGATCAAAGGGGTGCTAATCAAAATTTCTGTGGTTAAATTATATTAACGTTTTCAATATATTTCAAAATTGGTGACAGCGGGCCAACAAAAATATGAAAAAATGCATTGATTTTTTTGGTGAAAAAAATGAAACTATATAATTCATCTTGACGATGGATTATAGGATAATCACCCCATTCGCTCTTTTTACCCGATGGCATCCGTTGCGCTGTTTCCTTATGTTTGTTGTTGATGATGTTTCCACAGTCTTTTTTACATAGTGGTCTCGGTTTCCAAGTTTTTAGGTTCGTCCATATCCTTGTCCTTTTTCTGTATGGAAAGCCGTATTTACAATAATCAAGGTCAAAGTAATCAAAGTCTTTCATAAAGTCCTGATGTTTCAACAATCCAGTCTGTGGGTTTTCTATGAACCACACGGAGGGATTGAAGTATCTGACTATTTCAAGGGTCTTTTGAACGATGCTGTTGGCATAATCTATTTTTCCAACACCAGTGGTTTTGGCAATGCTATATTCAACACAAGGGGGAGAAGCCCAAATGATTTGAAAATTGTTTCTGTTGAATTGTTTGTAATCCCAATTGAGGATGTCGGTGTTGATGTTGGCATCCTTCAAGTCCAACGAGACAACATCAAAACCTAACTCTTTGGCAACTTTGCCTACACTGCCCGTTCCAGAAAACAGTTCAAGTATGTTCAAGTAATTTCATATTATAAATCTATAGATTTAAAATATGAAACTACGACAGCAACACATAGGAGTTGTTGGTTGGGTCTTCGTTGATTTGGTAGTATGCTAAAGTCTCTTCTTTGGGTTGTGTGATTTTACCCGATGTAATCCACTCAAAGTATTGTTTCCTTTTATCTTCCCACGAACCGACGGGTCTGCCTATCTGCTTCTTTTCAAAGGCTTTGTTTATTCTTCCTTTATCTTTGTCTTTGTCTTTGGTATTTTCATTGTTTTCATCCTTCTTGTTGTTCAGGTTATATTCTATGTTTTAACAGTGTGCATTATGCTTATGAGGTTCTTGTTCATTCTGCTCACCTTGTTCTTCAGTTCTTCCGGTTCTGACTGTTTTATGGGGCCGTCGCTCTCAACATCCACTATACTATTATTTTTATATATATATAACTATTTATTTAGATATATATTTATTTAGATATTTATTTATCAATTTGCTTTCGCGCAAAAATCTGCTCTTTACACCATTTTTGGGAGAAACTTTTTAATCCATATCATTCATTGACTTTCTACCGCTACTTCTTGGAGTGCTCATTACATCGCTTATCATCTTGTGAATCTTGTTAGTGCTCTCTACTTTCTTATCTTCGGGTGTGATTTGTCTGTTCCAACCAATTTTATATCCCCGTTGTCATCTCTACTTACATTCATCGTTTTGACATTTTTGGTAATTTTGAGGGAGCAAGGATTACAAGAACACTTTATGCCCTTCGGGTTGATAAGAATTTCGTTTCTCAATTGTAAATTACCCTTACAAATGGGACAATCAAAGGTAGTGAATTTACCCACAGGACGAGGGTATGGCCCGGAGGGCCATACTACCCGAGAGCGGAGCTAGCAACCCATTGGTTCCATCATTCCAGTGCTAGGGGATTTCCTTGTCATAACATGTCCTTGTCATAATCTCCCGGCCCCATGGAACATATACGCATACCTCCTATTAGGGATTTCATATAGGGTATAACATAAGTTATAAAATCCCCCGGCCCCATGGAACATATACGCATACTTCTATTAGGTGTTTCATTTAGGGTTTACATAAGTTATAAAATCCGGACTCGCCAAAAAAGTCGAAAAGATTGAAAAAGTGGAAATGGCCGAAACGGCTGAAGTCCGCAGAGGGTTCACTTTTCTGACTGATTATTCCAAAAATTCGTCTTAGACCACGCTAACTCACAGATGTACCAGAGTCATAAAACACTGCACCTGCGTTCATACGACCATTCCGGGACAACCCTCAGTCCTGCCCGTGAATTTACTTGACAGTTTTTGTTCCTCATTCAGATTGACAACAGCGGGTTCTTCATCTGAAAGTTCAAAATCCTCGGGGATTGGTTGTTTTTTGATTGGGTTAGTTTTCTTTTTCGGCATCTATTTTATATTTGAGAAAATTTAAAACAATTCCAATCAGTTCCAATGTATACCTACAGCATCTCTTCACCCTGTTGTCGGTGATGACTGGATACTTCGTGTCATCAACAATCCTATTTTCAATCTCACCTATTGTATCAATGTAGGTTTCATACTCGTTCATCCTGATTATATATAATTAGAAAATATCATCCACATACATTCTAATTATACTATACAGGACTTTTCTTTGCGACACGAAGATTTCTACTGGGAGTTGGTAGAACAAAAATGTCGGGGGGTTCAATCAAAAAGATTTGTCAAAAGAAAATACACAAACGAATTCATCTTCTATTGCTTCGTTTTGTCAGTCAAAAGGACGCAGAGTTCAAAACTAATTAACGTCTTATGCGGACTGAAAAGTAACTGTCCCATTTTCACCTGACACTCTTTCAAGGTAAAAAAGGTTTCCTTTTCCATATCTTATATCAGAAATTTATGTCTAAATACTTTTAATATGATAAATATAAAACCTTACAAACATAAAGAATATAATTGTAAGGATTGTAAGCAGTCATCCTATGGGTATATGGCTTGTCTTCCAGCAAGGATTTTACTGAACGCTCCGTCGGGAACGGGTAAAACGGTTGCTTTGACAAACTTGGTGTTGGACATCTACAAGGGTTGCTTTGAGAAAATCTACATTTTTTCACCAACCATCTTCATTGATGACAACTGGACTCGACGGCTGTGAAAAAATACATTGACAAAGAAATGGACATCAAACACACTGATGAAAACCCCATTTACTTTGACACCTTTGAGGAGAAGGACTTGAAGAACGTAATAGACACGCAGGAAGGAATAATAAAGTATATGATTCCCTCTGTTGAATCCATGTGTTTTTACATCAAAAAAATGATTCATACCATAAAATGTGAGGAGGTTCCTGCATTTTTCCCTTCCAGCCCAATCCGATGTTTAATGAAAACACATCAAAACTCCATCAAATACTCACATCAAAGGTTCAATGCCATGAGTTCTCCATCAAATTCCCCACGCAAGCAGCAATGGGGCCCCAACCTCTAAGAGCTCATCCGGTGGCAGAATGGTGGTGCGGAAGTGGAAGGAGCCATCCATCTGTCCAAAACCAGATCCTGGTGACGAGTTATTGGATCATTGGGATCATTGGATCATTCACTCGAAAGGAAAGATCGTTTCCTTGTGAAAAAATACCCTCTGGTAATGACTAACGTAGCTATTGAAAATGGCCATTAATAGTGGATTTTCCCATGAAAAATGGTGATTTTCCATAGCTATGTTAGTTTACCAGAGGGTAAATATAGCGACTATAACATCTTGAAATCGTGCATTCTAATTTGAGGACCATTGATTTTACTTCAGCCTGGACAACAACCGCATACAATCGCCCTGTTTCTGGCGCAAGCCAGTACCCAACAAGCAACTCGAGGATGCAAACCTGCTTTATTTGAAGATGGAAGCAACTCGACTTTTCCTACCATTTTTGGTACTGTAATCATTTCACCAGCTTCAAATCCATCGGTTTTGGGGATGTCCTTCGTTTCCAGCTCCCCCGCACCTGGCACCGTGACAATGCCCGTCTTTTCCAACAGCTCCAAACACCACAGACCTGCGGTTGTGGGAGTCGTGGGGCGAGGTCATCTTTTAACTGCATTTTAACATAATCCCATCCCCCTAATGGGATTCAAATTGAATATACAGAAATCCAACCATCAAATCTTATAACCTAGTACACCGTATTAAATATTAATATTGGATTTATGTATTATATATATACAGGAATAAACCCATTAAATGTTATATCCTAATACACCGTATTTTATATGGGATATGTATACAGGAATAAGACCACTAAATTCACTAAATGTGACTTATCCTAATATCAAACAAAAGTGATGATTTAAATGGAATATGCAGGAATATATATATATATGTATATGGTACCATTTCCAATAGATGGTCCAATCGATTTTTTGGTGTTCATTTTCATTGGTCTGTCTAGTACGGAAAGACAGACATGTTTGAACTATTACAGGGCAGAGGGACATCTGAAAAAGTTATATGTCAGATATGTCAATAAGTATGTCATGGGGGTATAATAATATTGACCATCAAAAATGGGGCGATTCATCACAAAGTACAGGGATACAAAAACTGTGAAGGTCCTTTGAGGTAAATTGTGACCAGCAATGAGTGGGGATATTAGCCGAGCAATCAACAATGGTAGTATAATATAGGCATATTTGGAGATGAGGATTGGAAGGAAATGAGGATGGAGGGATATTGAAAATGGGCTGGTTGAGCTGGATTTTACATGGACACTTTTACGATGGAAAAATGGGAGATTCCTATAGTCCTATAAATTCAATGCAGCTGAGATGCCATCTGGTTCTTGGTCCTTCTGTTTTGCATCCTGCAGCTGGACGTCTCAAACCCTCTCAAAATTCGACATGGCTATAAGTCGAAACCAAACGGTACCCTGGTGTTCACCAAAAAATAGCTGGGATTTATGGATGTTCATCCCCAACAAAAAATGGAATGTAGGTTTGATACATCACCACATGTCAAAAAAAAGAATGCACGAATCACTCTTCGTCGCTTCCTTGGTTGATGTTTCAGATTGCTTCTTTGCTTCATTTTGCTTCCGATACTCATTGACTCATCGAATGGAACACGTGTACCGTAATACCGTGGGGTCCAAAGTCCGTCCAAAGTCCGTCCAAAGTCCGTCCATTAAAACAAGACCAGCTTTGAGTGGGTATTCCCACCTCTCCGCATCGAAAAAACAATGGGACACTACTTGGATATACATCCCAGGTGAGATGATGAAAATCTCCATGATACAATCCAGCTACAAATGGTTCATAACCCCAGTTAAAACGCGTTGGTGACCTCTTACTTTGACTTAAAGACTTAGATGCCCATACAAAAGCCCTAGCGATTAAGGTTTTTAAAAGCATGGGGAAAAAAAAACTCCACTGCGCCGTCTCCTCAATGGCTTTGGGTGGCAGTTTGACTGAAGGGAAAGCATACATAGCTCCTGTGGTCATCGGCACCCGCACCTTCCCCAGTCCCAATGACTGGCTGTAAATCATTTCAGCCTGATTACCATGCTGTTACCCTTCCCACAACATCTGCCCAAGCTGCCCATTTTGCTGGAAAGTACTTGACCCATCAACTTCAGGTCCCCTGAACCAGGTGTACGTGCTGGCAAAGAGACAGCACGACTGCATCAACGCTTTTCGATCCAAGGCAATGCATTCAATCATCATCATCATCATCATCATCCTCCTACCAAAAGAATCCTTCCATCCCTCAAAACATGGGAGCGCTGCCATTTTGGTTTGTCCAGAAAAAAGAGGTGTAATTGCCAATAACCTCCAAATTGTTGTGTTAATGGGGGGATGATGATAAAGCATTGCAATTGGCCCTATTTTTGGACCAGGCCATTTACAATTTACAACCACCTCACACTCCGACCCCTGGTTGCATACCCCCACCACTCCGTCGATGGGTTGGCACGAAATACCCGGGACTTTGTTCAAGGCATCTGTCAGACGCAAGGCACGCCTCAAAGGGATGGAACCAAGCGGTGAAAAATGTGACCAATCCAATGCGGATAGAAGTTTTACGGAGAGGGGGAGCTTGAGGGGCAGAATGTGAAAGCCTGTGGCAAAAAAACAAAAACTGCTCCGAAATCCGAAATGTCAAAATAAGTTCATATCGAGGTTGGAACCAGTCGCGGGCTGGAAAACCATTGGCTGAAGGTCATGTCAGAATTCCTATGCCGTGAAAGCAAGACAGTCTCCCACATACTCTAACAAAGCATGCAAATTCCGGACATATAGAAGTTTGAGGTGGTTGAACCTGATTCCCACTTCTAAGTCTCAAAGTTCCATACTGAAAGTCATACACCAATGACAGCCCCCTCATTTTCTATCTGCAAATCCTCTGAACAAATTGTGTTTGTCCCTTTCCAACGTGGTCAACCAAAAGGCCCCCCCGTCTCAGATTCCAAAGGCGCACCTCTTCAAGGATTCAAAGATGCCAGAGGTTTCCTTTTGAAAGAGTTCATAGGATGGATCACCTGCACCAGATCCGCGTCGTGTTGTGTGGGCACCTCCCCGGTGCTAGTCCCCCTGCCTAGCTGTGGCGGATTCACCATGAGCCCAACGAAGATCTGCGCGTTCGGAACGGGCAGTTGCAGAGCCCTTAATTAATGGGTCAAAACGCTTAAAGCTCCCTTGTTTAAGACATCTATCCTCAGGTTGGTTGGTGAACAACTATTTTGTTGGTGGATCTCCCAAGATTCTGTTGTTTCATATCATACTTATCCCAGGTTCCTCCCCCATGTTTGATCACTATTTCTGATTAGATCCCCCACTTTTCAGCATTTTTACTGGTTGGATCTCCATATTTCTGTGGTTTTGAAATTTCTGCCTGGCCCAAGGTGTTGGAAGAAAGACTGGTGGCTGCCATCTTGGTGAACTGTGTCAGGACCATGTCAGAGAAACCTGGTCGTCCAGTGGCAAATCAGGCTTGAGACAAACCCCAAAATATATGTTTTTCCATGGGTTTTGATCCATGCCTATATGATTTCGTTGTTTCAATTCCAAGATATGTCTAATAGATTTGATATTTATATATATATGATATGATATGATATGATATGTTTGATCTGTTGATTAGTTGAGAGGCGCTGATTAGTGACGTAATTCCAAAGCTGTTGGTTGGTGGATAGAGATTATCATCATGAATTGGACGAGCTACCACAAGCGCAAACAAACTCCGTTTGGATTCACTCATTGGTTGATAGTGCTGTTCGCAGGAAATACTGAATACCTGCAATGGAAAGCCTATTGGGGTTGCTTAACAGAACGATATACAGGGGGAATGGCACAAGTGATTCTATCACGAATCCAGGACAGAAAAGTGAAGTGTTTGCGACCTCTAAGGGACCTTCAAGTTGGTGGTGATTATTGAATAGTCCCTAGTAAATTGTGATCAACACCCCTTGAGACCAGTTCGAAACTCAGGCTAGCAACTTCAAGCCTGCTACCAGCGGATGCTTAAGCTTATTTTCCTTTCATTCAGCGTGGTAAACCATACGGTAAACCCAATAATGAACCTAAACTTTGGAAAGTAAAGGTTTTTGCCATCCGTTTCTGCTCAAAAATTTCGGCGGGTTTTTAGTTTCGGGATTTTCTTTGCGAGTTCCAACTGCTCAAGGTTTTTCTCCAGCAAGGGCTCACAACGGCTCGCTCTTCGAGCCAAAACAGAACCGGCCCCAAGCGGCTCTTTGGCTCGGGTCCGTGGACGATCGACAACATGGGTTTCCAAAAATCGACGACGGATGATCGTCCCCCTGAACAAAAATCTTTGGCTGTAAAACTTGCGCAAACGACCCAAAAATTGGTCAAGTAGCTGTCCATAACATGAAAAGTTGCATGTTCCATCATCAATTTTCTTCGAACTGTTCACTACCCCTTCAGCCATGATTTTGTACATTCCTTGGCGGCCCTCAAGACTTCAATGTACTCTGTGACGTCTTCCAAGTCTTCATCGTCGCAGCAGGCCTCGGTGCTGTGAGTTGAACCACAAGTAAACCCATAGCTATCATAGCATCCCTACAGCCCGCAGATTCATTGTCTATTTGACTGTAATCATCCCCGTGTTTTTGATGTTTGAAACATGTTGTTTGACACAGCTTACCCAACCAGTGTAGTCATGGGCAAACATGACTCAATTCAATCCAACCGCCCGGCTTTGGCACCTAGCCTAGCGCATCTAATGAATCTAATGGTTATGTTGCACTGTCTCG